ATACTTGTGTCTGGGAATATTTTGTTTTGTAATGAAGAAAATTTAGTTAATTTCCGTTTATAGAAATTATTTGTATTTTTTTTTTACAATAATAATAGTTTATATTTGTAATCCACAAATTGACTTGAGTGACATATGTCAATGTCATTTGATATTTAAATGTCAAAATGATATATGACATTTCGCAAAAAGTAGCGTATTATAAGCTTTTATTTGTTTTATTTAAATAAGAAGTATTTTTAATATAATTAAAATTAATACAGTTCTATAAGAGGCTTAATGAGATAGGACTATTTTTCGGTATACTTTTTTAATTGTAGAAATATTTAGCGTGTATAATCCTTACTTGATCAACTTTATCGATCTTATTTTAATATCTTCTATCTTCTATATATATAAAAATGGATTGCTGTTCCTTAGTCTCGCTTAAAATCGAGAACAGCTGAACGGATTTATCTTATCTTAGTCTTGAAATGTTCGTGGAGGTTCAGGGAAGGTATAAAAGCTGAAAAAAATTGATTCATTACTGGGAAAACCATAAAAACAGCCCTTTTCTATTTCCCATACAAAGGTTTTTTTTGACATTAGATTTGACAACTAACTAATATGTCAATCATTGTGTCGCACTTCAAAACACGGAGATTTATGGCTTACAGGTAAACTCCAAAAATATAAATAAAAAAACGTAACAGATATTTCTTGATTATAGGGGGATACGAAGTTCGCCGGGTCTTCTACTTACTAATATATAAACAATTTGAAGCATATATTAATATATGCTTTTAGAAAGAAACTGGAAGGATATTCTAATTATACATTAAAATACATCTTTGTAGTGGTCAAATAGCAAAATGTTGCCACAATAAAATAACCTCAGGTGGAAAAAATTATATAATCGTAATTCAATTTTAATTAAATATCTTTCACAATCTATTCAGTAATGGATATTTTTTTCGCGACTCTGTACCCGATTCGTTGTAAAATTAATTTTCCATAAAATCCGACGGAGATGCGGTATAATTAATTTATCCTTTGTGGATATGGAAATTTGATTTTCGTGAAAAAATATATACATACAAAATGGCTTCCGATTTTTTGACAGGTTGATGACTTGGATAAATTAATATTTGTGTATTTTGTGATGTATTTCAAGATGAAAATGTTGTTTTATATATGATAACATTTTAATCTTTTATTGGGAAATTGATTGATTATTAATTTTTAAATATAAGTGAAGATTATTAAGTATTCCGTCTACCGTGATTGCAATATCAGCTTGTTAGAGTTGAACTTTAAAAATCTTTTCCATATGTAATGTATTTGATGATTTATCCTTATTTAACTATTTTAATATTTTATTTGAAATAAATATGTTATTTTAATATACTGTTTATTATCTGTGAAAGATGATAGCAATAGACAAAAGCATGTTGTATTATTTAATGTACTAATTAAAAAATAGTTTTTAAATAAATATATTGTTTGTTCTAATGAACTAAAGAATATAAACAAATAATACTTTTATTTAAGTTTTTGTTTTTACTCTTTAATTATTTACGTCATATAATTTAAGCATTAAAAAGAAACTTACGAAGTTTATTTTTTATAATTTATTATAAAACCTTTTTGCATAATGCTTATAGTTTACAGAATGTCTTTAGACAGTTATGTAATTTGATCCTTATATATTATTACGAGCCAAATTGATGGGAAAATGGCGGGAAATTGCAGCGGCCGCCATTTTGTGACGATTTGGCGCGATCGAAGACATATTTGCTTTAATATTTAAAATGGTTTCGTTCTAGTTGGAAGTTTAATTATAAAAGTACATTGTATAATTTTGTTATAATATAATAGTTTTTTGATTGGTTTAAATGTATTAAATGGTTGTGCATTTGATATTTATTAACGTTCGGAAATCAGTTAGTATAAACAGACTTCTTTTTACCAATAGATATTAAGTGGCTGTATATGAGTTTATTTCTTTTTGAAAATATACATATATTAAAATTTAAAAAAGAAAGATTGTAGTATGTACTAAATTAAATGGTAAAATAACAGTGATTTAACATTATTATAATTTATTGTTTGTCATATTTTTTAGTTAATAATAATGTAATATTTAATAATTTAATTAGTCTTTTACACGGAATTATTAAATATTCTGAAGCAAGAAATTAACTTTCCCATGAAATAATAAAAAATGTACAACCTTCGTTGTTTCTTTGTGTCAGTGTCCTTCGCTTTATTATATTGAAAGAATAAAAAATATTGTTCATTACACGTTTTTTAGCTTGTCAAAGAGTGATATTATTAGTTTTTTAGGTGTTATAAATAAGGTTAATTTAAGTATTAAACTCTATTTATATATAAGTATAAAAATAATTTGTCTCCTAAAAACTCGACATATTGCCACCCTTATTTCTTCATCATACTATTTAAATCAAATTATATATTATGTTTTAAATTTATTTATTTAAACAGCCATTATAATATGTACATATCAAAATGGCTCCATAATAATATGACATCGTATAATTAAAACGTCTTTTAATAACAAGTTCCTCGTTTTGAATTATTTATGTATTCGGCGCCCGTTCTTTCGATCATACCCGCCATTGCCAACTCTACCTTTATGTGTGACGATTTTTTTTTTAATTTCATTACATAATAATCAATCATCGGATGTATAATTCCTATGTACCAAGGAGGTTTATATATATTATTTTAATAGCACATTGGCTGTATGCATGTGATTGTGTTTTGATATTTTGTTGGCATTGATGAGAAAATGTACGGATTTTAAAAGAGTTTATTAATTGTTATAAGGTTTTCTAATGTTTCTTTTGTTTAGGTTGTAATGTATATATAAAATATAGGACATTTTCTTTATAATATTTAGTAAAGGGTTATTATTATTAGATGTGTAATTACTTTTAATGTTGTTCGTTTAAAAATACTGAATCATTTATATACTTTTAATTAACTAGATAAATGTATATATTGATGAATATCCGTTTAGTAATGTTTGAACGTATAATAAATCTTCACACAATCGTAATTTTCTCAATTATAACTTATATATATGTATTGAGAAAAAGAAGTATTTACATAAAGCTGTAAAATATATACATAAATTATATAATTACTATGAACGCTACTTCAAATATATAACTGAAATTTCCCGGAAAACAGAAATAGCTAGAATTCACGACTAAATTCACGACTCACCTTAACGCCGACGATATCGTGTCGTATCCGCGTCGTATTTTGTAAAGGTCTCGATAGTTTACGATTCCCTTTGAGTTGAAAATCTGGTAGAAGTAATTATGAATATTATATTTATGGCGACTATTGATTTTATATTTCGTACTTGTATTCATCGATTTTGTATTTTGTTATCAGACTATACAGCCTCGTACAAGCAGATGCAAGTCAGGATTGGTTAAAGACTTACACTTACGTTTCCTTGGGAAACCAATATCCTCAAAGACCATGCCATCAAGGTCAATAAATATTACGAGCTCATTAAAGAACTCACTCGAAATAGGTTCGTCGTGGATTTGTACGCGGTAGAAGTGGGAGTAAAGTATAACAGCTAAATCTCTCTACAACCTACAAAAAGACTTGGCCCTGTCCAGAACTAATATCAATTCATTCTTGGAACGTACTTGAGAGGCAACTCTAGTAGGTTCGTTTAAAATTTGGTCAACAGAGGAGCTTGGACGGTGGAGGTGAGCGTTTAACGCGTTAGATAGGGTGTATGTGACGGTATTTACGAGTATTCTTTGTTTTTGATTAATCTGAGAAATTTTTAGACATTCACCTTAATAGTCTAGTGATTTATTTCTCAAATACGATTTAAAAGACGTTTTCTTAAACTAAACCTAGCTATATCGATTGATCATTTGTGTCTGAATTAGAAATGTATAGCTGACATGGCGAACTCTGTTCCGCCTTAGAGGCAGTAAATAAGTAGAATTTTTCAATACAAAATGTCTTCCTTAACATAAGTTGACTAAAATTATGTTATAATTATATTATCTATAAGCGGTGTAAGTCTTATTAAAAATCAATTCTCATTTCCACAAACAAAAGATATTTAATTTTTTTACTAAGATATATAATTATTATTTTAATGATTTCAGTTTTGAAATACATAGTTTTATACATAATCTTATAATTAATGATATAATGATCAACCGAAGAAAATATTTACAATATTCAATAAATACAACGACTTAATTTGCAAAGCTTACAAATAGAAGAGGATCATAAGATTAAAACATAATTTGGGGATGTAGAGATAGTTGGATTGGTTATTGATAGCTTATTTATTGTTAAATATGACTTTTTTATATAATTATAATCAGATAAGTAAGGAATAAGTATATTAATTAAATATATAATACTACGAGTTTAGTTATGTCAAAGATGATAATCAATTTCTTTCTTTTGATATAACTAGAAAATTCTTATATTTTGATAGCATTATATATATATTTATAACTGTCTATATGTTTATTATTATATCTGTGTTACGTGATTTTGTCCAATATATCTGGATTTATTTGAAAACACAGTTAAGTCGTATTTGATCAAAATCACTCAACCTAATACAAACTGAACTCAAATAATCAATAGGATTTTCATTCTCCGGCGTGACATTTAAATCTCTAAGGTCAAGATTATAGGTATTAATAAGTTATTATAAATAGGGTGCAGCCATTAAATAAGAGAGCACTCCGCGTAGACGTGATCTCCACGCCTCTTCGTTATTTATGTACACACTAATGTACAATTGATTATAGAATTTGCATAACGATCTTGAAATAATAATTCTATTCTATACTACGTTAAGAATAGTATAGAAGTTGTGTATTTTTTTTGGCAAATTACAAATAATTGTTATATTTAATACGTATATGTCTAATGTCAAGTCTGTCCAGAAAATAGATCGTTTTAAATTATTTTGAAATGGTTCAAATGAATTGTAAATAATGATTGTGAATAACTTTGTTCTATTTGTTATATTTTGTGAATTAGCTATAGAGGTAATATAATATTAGTTTATAATTTCTTTTTATATATAAATTCAATATGAACAAACGGATTTTAAAGTCACTAAAAATATTTTTTGATAATCACTTATATGGAACTAAATATACATATATATAATGTTTTATTTAAAACCTTCATTTCAAACACACTTTGTTAGTTTTTAAATCTCCATACAAATTTCAGTATTATGTATTTTAAACTTCTAAAAATGATTGTCATCTTTACAGAATTTAGATATGCAAAACTATTCTACTATCTCGCGTTTAGAATAAAGTTGATTTATAAAAGGTTTTAAAACTATTTCTAGTTACATACAATGAAATAATCCTGGTTTTGCTTGATATAAGCTATTAATAAGTTAGCTTTTCCTAAGAAATTACCCAGCTAGTTGTATAGCTTTGTTTAGTATGCTATAGCTTGCTTTACAAAAAGTTTCGGACATATTCAAGTATTAAAACCTACTAAAATAGCTCCGTTGTCGCATCTAATTGACTGTACGACTGACACTTGTGTTATTAACCACGGAAGTTAAACGTCAGGGCTTTGATTTTTAACTAAATAATGTATTTATATTAATAATATTATAATTAATATATATGTAATAAATTATTTAATGTATAAGTAATTTATTTTATTTTTATTTACATATAAATCAACAATATATGTATATATTGGTTGGTTATTTGGAAATATATGACATATTTTAATTATCTATAACATTATAGATTAATTAAATATTATATATATATGTTACCTGATTTTATTTTCTCACTTCTGACAACCCTATCGCTAAAAGTTTTGCGGATTTAGCAAGTGGTAACAAACCATTTTTCAATTTTCAGCCTTTGGCTCTGTGATTTTAGATATTATTTTTAGTTTATATCAGTAATGGATTGTAATAAAAGTAGAAAATCTAAGTATACGTTATTCTAAGTCTGGGCTTTAGACTGAAATTGGGAGATAGAACTTTGTAGGTATATATTGAAAATTAAGTGTTTTTTAATGTTTCCTCCATTCTTTTTACAGAAAAACCAACACAAATACTTCTCACGTACTATCATGACCTCTAGCTTCTAGAGGTTCTAGTTTCTAGAGATTCTAGATTGAAGGTTCTAGAGGTTCTAGGTTCTAGAGATTCTAGCTTGAAGGTATTCTTAAGGTATTCTCTGGTTTCAGGAAAGCGAACGTCCTAGGTAAAGTCGTGATACCAAGATTGAATGTGACGACTGATTATATAAACTCTGAATTAGAAGAGAAGGAGAGAGAGGAAGTTTTCCGTCTAAAGAGAGTTAAACAAAAGAAAGACTTTGATAAGAAACAAGAAGAGAATAAGAGGAGGCAGGACAGTGCTGATAGAAAGGCTCTCGAACAAGGAATCCTCCCTGACGATAAAGAAGATGCGAAAAAACCTTCGCCAACCCCAGCCGCACCAAGCCCTAAAGATTCCTCATGACCCATCCCATGCAAAAAATTTAATACACGCTTTATATATGCTCGTATGGTAATTAATATTTTTTGACATTGAAATAGGAGTGTATAAGAGTAGCAATGCATTAGTAAACCAAGCATTGCCTCAATATTTCTATATATTTTTTTGTATACAACTTTGATTCCAACTCTGCGAAATACAAATATTTGTCGTCTATTTTGCGGATAGGATGATATATAAAGATTTGACGCATTGAAAATTTACTAACTTTGTTAGTTAATGATATATGCTTTTTTGTGATTTTGTTTTTATTTATTGTGGACAAATAAATTTATATCTATTTATATTTGTTTTTTAGAATTAAAACACTGTGTCACAGTTTTTCATAGATTATAAGTTGAGAGAAAGGAATTGTGTGATAAAGATACTTCAACTGAAGAAAAAAAACTCATTGGAAATTGTATTGCATTTTATCAGTTCACTATTCTCTTGGATTATTAGTAGGTGTGTATGAAATTACATACATATAAAGTATCCTAAAGGAAACAATAACGATACTATAATTATAAAAATACGTCAAAGGATATGTCTAAAGATATGTCTGAAGATTAACCTAAACACAGATTTTTTCATTCATTCATAGTGACCGTGATCCGGTCACCCATCACATAAACATCCTGGTCGCTGTTGCTTAACAATTTTCGAATATAATAGAGCCTCATCATCATTTTTTATGATGGCCCATAATAAGATTTAAAAATATTACAATGACATCAAAAACCCGAAAATACTTGAAAGCAAAAGTTTAACAATAATATTGATTTGTCATTGTGCTATTAAGGAATTGCTCGGTTTACTTTTTTGTTGGATAAAAAATGATGTAGTGTTGTATCTAGTGATACTATCGATAAAAATACTTTACAATATTTATCATTAAATGGCTCGTCACTAGTGAAATAATAATTTATTTTATGGCAAATAAAAAAATGTTACTAAATTAAAATCTATGAACTACTTATTAAAAATAAACCGAAAATGGACGTTATTTTTTATATTATAATATTATCAGCGTGCTTCAGTTTATATCGATAATTATTATCGATAAAATGATGACCCCATCCCTATAAGGGCGCCATTAGGAGCTGTCAACCAGCATCAATCATAATCAAACAATGCTCGTATCGGAAACATCGGAATAAAAGAAAACTTGATGATGATCAATTACACCACTGAAACAAATACCCGGCACTATCCCTGGAGGCATCACTATAGCTTTACTAGTTTTATGCTAAATTTGATATATAAAACCTTTTTGCTGTCAAACAATGAACACATGGAAGAATTACTCTTGATCTCTGGCAGATTACACGTCAAAAGTAAAAAAAAAAAAAACAATTTAAAGGGTTTGTTTTTAATATGTTGTAGCTAGGATTGTCATTATGACAGTTATAATGACAGTTAAAATTCAAAAACATCAATTTGATTTGTGATTTTTTCGTATTTTTCCCTCACATACTTTTTAAATTATATAACATTCTGGTACAATATAAAATTCATTGACATTCTATTCTATAAATTTTATACTATTAGAGCGTAGACAACATATACACAGTCAAGTAAAGTTATTTTACATATTTAAAAATAATAAAAAATATTAAGACTCAATGAGTTATAACGTATTTTTAAAGAATAAATCCTTTAAGCCTTATTTTTAAACAAATCAAACAAGTAAAAGTTTTATCGGCTGTAAAAACTATCACCTAAAAAGGCCTAAAGAAAATATGCTTGAAAACGAAATATCGTATAATGTATGGAATGAATCTAACATTATAAAAAGGGTTACGAATTATATTTAAACTAATTATCATCATTATTCTTTTAATCATCAATGTGGGTGGCTTTTGGCTATTAATTCAGGCGACGTTAATAAAGTACGCTTCATTATTTACAGTGCAGTCTTCAGACAAGTTTTGGTAAGCAAGAAATTAGTGAATTAAAGTTTTGTAAAGATAATATACAAGTTATGTTGCATTCAGATATAAGGTTTAATTCTGATATAAACAGTGAATCCATATTAAGAGGCAGTTAAACTAAGATATTTAAGTTAAAAACATTATGCTTACATGTTGAGAAATATCTAGAAAATCGTCGTAACATTTTGGATGTCTGCATAGTTTAGACGTGGCATTTGCAATGTCAAATATATTACAGTTTCTTACAATAAACGATTTAGTTAGTTGTCTTAAATATGAAGAAATTCTTGAAACGTATGTTTGTTTATATATGCATAAGGTTAAATAGAATAACTTCTGTTTTCTAGTGTCATTTTTTTACACAAGATAAATCGTATTAATTTAAATCAATGACAGTATTATGTTACAGTTTCCACTGTGGTAGTTAAGAAAATTTGACTATGAGAAATTACCTTTAACTACCAATGGACTTATTAAAATGAAACTCATACTTTTGAGATTTTACTACGCGTATTTTACTATTGTAAAAAACTACATACTCCCGACGTTTCGGTTACTTTTCAGCAACCGTGATCATAAAGACGAGATGTGAATGACTGACCAATGGATGTATTACTTCATTATTTACACTTTTTTGTACACAACAATTACAATCACAAACAATTATAAAATACACAAACTAATTAACTAAAGATGAAAACAATAGGCGGCCTTATGGCTTATTAGCCATTTCTTCCAGACTACCTAGGGTTAGAGAATTGTGTTTGAAAGACAGTATAGGGTGGTGCAATTTTAAATACTCTTAAAATAATTACAACCTATTTTAATTAGTATCACTCTTCCTTATGGTGATAAAAATCGCCTTAACTTTATTTAAATTACATACTTATGTGTGCCCAAATATAATATTGATTATCTTTTTTTTTATGTGAAAGGTGGCAAACGATCTTGTGCTTATATAAAAGATATTTCCAATAAAATGTATATAGGTTAAGACTAAATAGACAAGGTAATACAAGCTCGAAGAGTTTCACTTAGCATAAAATTAAGCTAAGAGTAATTGTTACTAGGATACTTTAACTACCAAGAGAAGCTCTTCTTTCAGAATTTCTGAAATTCCAGAAGATAGAAGATTCTTCTGACTACTTCTAGATCATAATTTAAATGATCGTAATTTTATTATTAGATTATTGTGTTATTGGAATTTTCTTTAAACTACAGTATAGGTACTACGCCATTTCAAGCGATGCAGCCAAAACAAAGTGATTTATTATTATGCTAATATGTACGTAAATATATAATCCCATTAAATGTAATGATGGTGTTTGTATAACAATACATTGTTTCGGAGCGTTAACATTACAGAAGTTGTCGTAAACTATTGTTATTATATATTGAAAACATTCACCGGCTAGGGTGACCAACAGTTTGTTATGAAATATAGAAAATATAACAAAGAATTTACGAAATTATTAATATTTATATGCGTAATCCAAGTTTTAATCGTTACTAAATAAGAATTATTTAACGTTTATCATACAATAACATAGTTACGTTACTTAATTGTGTTATGATCGAAAGAAAAACTATTAACGCGCCGTTCGAAGTGTGATGAATTCTATTAGGACTAAGCATACATTAACTTGTATTATATTTTATAGATCGTTGTCAATTATTTCTTAATTAATATATATATAACTAATTAAATAGTTTTCTGTGATATTGTATTGGATATCGTTTTTTTCCTTTGTTATAAATTTAGTTGTTTACATTACTTACTAACGTAGGATAATTAGTGTACTGGAATATATACGTACTCGTTTATTTGAGATATTTTTATAGTTCTATCTTGAAGTTTTATTGAAATTAAAATGAATGAACACAAAAATCGTTTGAAAGATGGATCTTAGTTTGACAATATTAAGATTTTTACAGTAAAAAAAAAGATATATATATTTTTAATGCTATGGCTTCATTTGCACTGAAATCGTGTAATATTTTGCTCATGTAAACCTTTTTAATGTGTTGGAGGAGTTATAATCATGACTACCTACTCTGTGGAGGAAACACGAAGGAGTTTGTTGAATGGAATAAAGACGATTATTTATTATAATAGTAATTATTATATTTTATTTAATAAAAAGGAGACTCTCGTCGTAATAAAATTTATTTATAATCATAAAAACTTCACAGAGTTTATATATCTAAAAATAATATTAGATTGTTACAAACAAAATATATATTTCATAATACCGTAAAAAGACAATTTATTGAAATTTGATAGAATTTAGTTAAAAATTATAACTACTGTGTATTATTGAAAACAAGATAAAATAAATAAATTGCCAATAGAAATTAGGTCTGGTTGACTTATTCAAAACTTTATATTTTCTTGTACGTATAAATATAAAGAAACAACTACTCTTATCTTAATATAAAGAAACAACTGCTCTTAATAAAGTTCATTTTGATTTGAACCCGTAAGTTTTTCTTCCGAAAATTTTGTTTTTTAAGTTTAGACACTTAAAAACAACCTAATACTTTTTTCACTGTAAAGGTTTGCAATCATAAAACAAATTTATTTCTCCCCAAAGTGAAATACCATTAAGAGAACGTAATAACCTAACAGAAACAGGCAATTCTGTTTAATAATAAATATAATGTCCCCGTATTGTCAAATTCTTGGTCACCCTAACAGGATCGTAAACATTTAAAAACAAAATGACTATGTTCACAAGACTGTTCGCGAGTTTGTCCTCTTTGTCACTCTACACCTGGTTTTACTTATTTTTATTGTTTGAACACTTTAAACAAATAATATATTATATACAAAGTATAAATAAAATTTTATACGCTTATTATTTTTCAGCTCTGACCAACAAATGAATTCTTTGTTCTAAAATAGTTTTTACAAGATCACAACATATTTATTCAAATCTTTTTAGTAGCTTTTCGTAATTACATACATACATATAAGTAAATTTTGAAATATTTTTTTTTTCATAATAAGCACGTTTTCATTATTTAGTTGTATATTTTAGGCATTTCACT